TTTTTTTTTTATCGGTAAAAATGAATTATATTAATCAAGCATCAAATACAAATAGACTTAAACAAAGAGAATACCACCCATCGCTAATGACTCGTAATAAATCAAAACATTAGGATACAAAGAGAACATCACTTTGTATACTTGTGTTTTGATTCGTCGTACAATACTCTCAACATGGGGTTTCAAATTTTCAAAAATCATCATATTTCTAGTCAACCAAATGTAGTAGATGGAACTTGCTAAACAAATCATTTTAGCTTTGTTGTGCCATGAGGTTCTTCTGGCTTCCTTCTTTATCCACTCTAGTGCACTAGCCATGGTAGTCATGGCTCTTGTAATGCCTAACCAAACCTTAATACTCTTCCAAACACATGAAGAAAAAGGACATTCAAAAAATAAGTGATTACATGTCTCCTCGTGTGAAGCACAAGAAATGCAATTTCGATCAATATTCAAGTAATGCAATTTATCTTTGGTGAGTAATTTGGATTGACCTCCCAACCACAACATAAATGAGTGTTTTGGAGTGATGAAGTGTTTCCAAACTTTTGTTGCCCAGCACTTGACATTTTCCTTAGGCCGAAAAAAATCATAGGCTTTCGTTACACAAAAATTATCTCCATTTATCCATGCATTTTGGCTGAAAATCTATTGCGGCGTCTCCAAAGACGGCTGGTCGACCTGCTCATGTGCAAAAAACTGCTTAAAAAATCCCTAATTTTGAGTAGTTTTTTGAAAAGTGGTGAGTGGTCTTTCTTAGGCAAGACCTCCCAAATACTAGCTCCTTTAAAATAAAATTGACCAAACCAACGAATCCACAGTGTCCTTTTTATTATGGATATTCCACAGCAACTTAGCAAGTAATGCTGAATTCCAATTTTTCATGTCTCTAAAGCCCAAACCACCTTCTTTCTTCGGTGAGCAAACATCCCTCCAAGCAACCAAAGGCTGCTTAGAACCCCAAAGAAAATTACGGCAAAGACTAATGACTCTTGAAATATAGCTGAAATAGGTAGCAAAGAAGGCCAAAAACACTTGATTCCTTAAAGCACCGCCTAATCAATTCCGCTCTACTCACATAGGACAAAGAAGAGCACGTCTAAGTACTTATATAAGCTGTAATTTTATCCAAAAAATGAGCATAACAACCGACCTTAAACTTCACGGAAGCAAGTGGAATGCCCAAATATCGAAAAGGCATTGTACCATTCGAATTATGGGTAAGTTCTTGGATTTCATCAAGCTCTTGCCCGTGTATTCCAGCTAGTGGTGTCAACGAGCTGAGCTGAGCTGAGCTCGAGCCGAAAAAAAAAGCTCGAACCGAGCCCGAGCTTTTTTCGGCCACGAGCCGAGCCCGGCAAAAAAAAAGAGGTTCGGCCCGAGCTTTCAACCCGAGCCTTAGCGGGCCGAGCCGAACCCGGGCCCAGCCGGCTCGGGTTTTTTGGATTTTTTTTAAAGGCTGCCTGCTAAAAATAGCAAGGCAGCAAGCTTGCTGCCTTAGAATCTAGTTCTACAACATTGACAACATGCTTGAAATTTTGAAAAATCAATGATCCTAACAATCTCTCTCGAGAATTGCAGGACCTATTCATGTAAACCACTCAT